CGGTGATGATGATGATGATACAGCTGTCAACAAAATCCACAATCTGAACAGAGCCTCTAAAAATGGGCAGTCTTGCTACAATCATCGTAATTATACAGGAATTATACGGTCACGTTAACCGCCTGCAATCTGATGACAACACTAAAAATGGAGGAACACAGGAACACCGGAACCTGCACATGGAATGGAAACCCGAGCACCCGGAGTAAATCCACACGCACGAGTGCGGCGCAGAGAGGCTCCCCGCGCAACCCGCCTGCTGTACTCTGCCAACCCTGTAGGCCAGTGGCGTTGGGTGTCTCCAAAAGCCTGCGTGATACATCAACCCTTGCCTCCAAAGTGATGTATCACAACCTCTATTATTTAAAAAAAACCTATATTGTGGATATTGGTGGCGAAAGCCTACGTGTTAAACTGTTGTTTCCACAGCTATACGCCACTTTGCCCAGCTCAACGCTGCATAGAAGTGGAGATAATGTGAATCTACAGATAAAATGTAGGTGAGTATTCTGGGGTAAGGTTAGGGGACTTGTGACAGGTGGAGGTACACTATACAGTTGTTTTCATTTCATGCCCTTTATTTACCCAGGAAGCCATAAATAAGTTCCAATGCTCCTTATTAAAAGGGTCCTGCTGCATTGGGATGTTTGACCAATTCCATGCATGTTTGTTACGTGGGAGGTATTCAGAGTAACTGGAGAAAATCTACAACATATTACGGAGTTAAGGGCTCAAAGATCCGCGTAGATAGATGCAATAATCCACTGCTGCACTGCTATCTCCAGGTCACTTCACAGCTCAAGCCGAGAACAGCAAACATTCTAGGGCAGTAGTCTTCCTTCCGAGTAACCAGCCTGGCTTTTATGCAGCTTGGCTTCCTAGATCTAGCGAACTGGGGCGGATTCAGGGTGATGTGGTTATGACCGTTGTAAGGAGATCGTATTCATCTTCTTGGTTCTTTCGGTAAAGTCACGTAGAATGGAAATAATAAAATAATAAAAATAAAACATTTTATAATTCTCACGACGTTTCGGCCACAACGCAAGTAGCCGTCCTCAGGTGGAGAACAGGTCTAAAATAATAAAAATAAAACCTAATAAAGTAATTATTTTATTAGGTTTTATTTTTATTATTTTATTATTTCCATTCTACGTGACTTTGATGAATCCCTGCAGTCACGAAAGCTTTAAATCGAAAAGATCGTATTCAGTTTGTATGTGCAGCGAGTCCCTAACCCAAGTCAGAAGTGCAGGTTGAAGCCTCCTACATAGAGTGTCGGTCATGGGGGTATTTGTTTGACCATACTTCCCCATGCTGGTCAGTGCAGACTGATGAAGAGGAGCCAGGACGAGTTCTGATATCACTCACCAATTAAGTTAGCCGTGGCCAACAATCCAACTCAGGTGGCTGGTTTCTTAGTGCGGTGCGCTAACCACTGTGCCACTGCTCGCACGCGTAATCATTATTGCCACGGGGTTACAAAGACTCCGCGTTGCCCAGGTAAGATGACGTTCTCTCTCCGTGCCTACGAGCAAATCTGCCCCTATCGCAGCGTTCATCATTGCCAGGCCCGCGGGTCACTTGCGGCCCCTGGTGGCCTTTAGTGCGGCCCCTGACACTACACAAAGAGTGAAAACACCGCCCCATCATCATCATCGTGCTGCTGTCAACACCTCCACTGGTGTCAAATGTGTGGCGGCCCTCACACTGATGATGTCTCATCAGCAGAAGTGTCCCCCCACCCCCCCCCCACTCTGGAAATTAGTGAAGAGCACTGCCCTAATAAGTGCGCGATGGCACCTCACGGACCCGCAACCACGACATTCTAAAACGTGGGCCCGTAAAAGGACCCATTAATTGCATCTCGCCGTTCCCATCGGATCGGTCTCCTCCCCTCCACCGCACACTCGGGGAATCTGTCCACAGAAACTGAAGACGAGAACTGGCGCGGTTGTGGTGGTGGTGGAGGAGGAGGAGGGTGTCTGCAGCACAGCGAAGCGATGCATGGGATGGATCGAGCACAAATTGAAATAAAATCGCATCCGTTTTGCGCATGCACAAGGCCGGCCCTTAAACGGACGACCGGAGGAAACGACTCGGCCAATGCTGGGAAGGAGGGCCCAGCATTGGATACGTATGGGAGGCATGTGGCATGTGAGTGGGGATGGAGAGCACGGCTACAATTGGGAGTGGGACCCAGTGGGAGGGAAGACGCAGCGAGAAGCCGGGTGGCGGACCAGGGAGCGATGAGCAGGGTGGGAGTGACTGTAATTGAGCTGGGAGAGGCAGAAACGTGGAGGTACAGGGGTGACGATTAAAAGCATGGACAGGGATTTGACAGGGCATGGAGGAAACGGGCAGGCGTGTGGACAGTGATTAACAGTGGGCACGGCAGGGCGTGAGGGAAGAGACATGGGCGTTGGCAGGCAGGGAGAGGAAAAGAATACAACAGCTGGGTATGAACGGAATGGGCAGATATCAGGGATCATACATGGGCAGTGATGGGACCAGGAGGAAATGAAACCAGCAGGTCAAAGAAGGGAATGGGCAGATTAGGGCTGGGGCGAGATGGGCATGGTAGGGTAGAGATGGGCATGGTAGAGTAGAGATGAGCATGGTAGGGTAGAGATGGGCAAGGTAGGGTAGAGATTGGCATGGTAGGGTAGAGATGGGCATGGTAGGGTAGGGATGGGCATGGTAGGGTAGAGAGGGGCATGGCAGGGTAGAGAGGGGCATGGTAGGGTAGAGATGGGCATGGTAGGGTAGAGATGGGCAAGGTAGGGTAGAGATGGGCATTGTAGGGTAGAGATGGGCTAGGGTAGAGATGGGCATGGTAGGGTAGAGATGGGCATGGTAGGGTAGGGATGGGCATGGTAGGGTAGAGAGGGGCATGGCAGGGTAGAGAGGGGCATGGTAGGGTAGAGATGGGCAAGGTAGGGTAGAGATGGGCATTGTAGGGTAGAGATGGGCTAGGGTAGAGATGGGCATGGTAGGGTAGAGATGGGCATGGTAGGGTAGAGATGGGCAAAGTAGGGTAGAGATGGGCATTGTAGGGTAGAGATGGGCTAGGGTAGAGATGGGCATGGTAGGGTAGAGATGGGCATGGTAGGGTAGAGATGGGCATGGTAGGGTAGAGAGGGGCATGGTAGGGTAGAGATGGGCAAGGTAGGGTAGAGATGGGCATGGTAGGGTAGAGAGGGGCATGGTAGGGTAGAGATGGGCAAGGTAGGGTAGAGATGGGCATTGTAGGGTAGAGATGGGCTAGGGTAGAGATGGGCATGGTAGGGTAGAGATGGGCATGGTAGGGTAGAGATGGGCATTGTAGGGTAGAGATGGGCTAGGGTAGAGATGGGCATGGTAGGGTAGAGATGGGCAAGGTAGGGTAGAGATGGGCATTGTAGGGTAGAGATGGGCTAGGGTAGAGATGGGCATGGTAGGGTAGAGATGGGCATGGTAGGGTAGGGATGGGCATGGTAGGGTAGAGAGGGGCATTGTAGGGTAGAGATGGGCTAGGGTAGAGATGGGCATGGTAGGGTAGAGATGGGCATGGTAGGGTAGAGATGGGCAAAGTAGGGTAGAGATGGGCATTGTAGGGTAGAGATGGGCTAGGGTAGAGATGGGCATGGTAGGGTAGAGATGGGCATTGTAGGGTAGAGATGGGCTAGGGTAGAGATGGGCATGGTAGGGTAGAGATGGGCATGGTAGGGTAGGGATGGGCATGGTAGGGTAGAGAGGGGCATTGTAGGGTAGAGATGGGCTAGGGTAGAGATGGGCATGGTAGGGTAGAGATGGGCATGGTAGGGTAGAGATGGGCATGGTAGGGTAGAGATGGGCAAAGTAGGGTAGAGATGGGCATTGTAGGGTAGAGATGGGCTAGGGTAGAGATGGGCATGGTAGGGTAGAGATGGGCATGGTAGGGTAGAGATGGGCATGGTAGGGTAGAGAGGGGCATGGTAGGGTAGAGATGGGCAAGGTAGGGTAGAGATGAGCATGGTAGGGTAGAGAGGGGCATGGTAGGGTAGAGATGGGCAAGGTAGGGTAGAGATGGGCATTGTAGGGTAGAGATGGGCTAGGGTAGAGATGGGCATGGTAGGGTAGATGATGTAGGTAGATGGGCAAGGTAGGGTAGAGATGGGCATGGTAGGGTAGAGATGGGCATGGTAGGGTAGAGATGGGCATGGTAGGGTAGAGATGGGCAAGGTAGGGTAGAGATGGGCATGGTAGAGTAGAGATGGGCATGGTAGGGTAGAGATGGGCATGGTAGGGTAGAGATGGGCATGGTAGGGTAGAGATGGGCAAGGTAGGGTAGAGAGGGGCATGGTAGGGTAGAGATGAGCATGGTAGGGTAGAGATGGGCATGGCAGGGTAGAGATGGGCATGGTAGGGTATAGAGGGGCATGGTAGGGTAGAGATGGGCATGGTAGGGTAGAGATGGGCATGGTAGGGTATAGAGGGGCATGGTAGGGTAGAGATGGGCATGGTAGGGTAGAGAGGGGCATGGTAGGGTAGAGATGAGCATGGTAGGGTAGAGATGGGCATGGCAGGGTAGAGATGGGCATGGTAGGGTAGAGATGGGCATGGCAGGGTAGAGATGGGCATGGTAGGGTAGAGATGGGCATGGTAGGGTAGAGATGGGCATGGCAGGGTAGAGATGAGCATGGTAGGGTAGAGATGGGCATGGTAGGGTAGAGAGGGGCATGGTAGGGTAGAGATGGGCATGGTAGGGTAGAGATGGGCATGGCAGGGTAGAGATGGTCATGGCAAAGCAAATATTGGCAAGGGTGGGTATAGATTGTCATGTCTGGAATGGTGAGGGCATGGAGGTGAATATACACGGGCAAGGCGTCATAGCTGCCAGGGTGGGCAGGGCAAGGCTAGAAACACAGGGGCAAGGCAGGGAAGGGCAGGGTAAGAATGGGCAAGAAAGACCACGCAAGGAATGAGACGAGACACGCGATCCGAGTAGCGCAGGGGACGTGTCTGGGATGCGGCTCTCTCACCTTGCTCCGCGGGGAGATTGAGGGCAGCTCCTCGGCTAATGCCCCCTAGGGCCCTGCCCCTCACAACAACAACAGCAGCAGCAACAACAACAACAGCAGCAACAACAGCAGCAGCAGCGATGTCCTCTCCCGCTCAGAGACGCGCCGACATGCACAGCACGACTCCCACAAGCCCGCGCGGTCTACATTCCATAGCGCGCATTAGCATACGCGCTCAATATCGCAGTGCGGGTAAGCGTTGACGCGCAATTTCACAGTGCACATAGGCGTGCCGCGCACGTTTGATATCGTAGCGCGGATAAGCATAGGCGCGCAATATCGTAGAGCGGTACGGCCACGACCGTTTGCTTCGGTGCGCGTGAGAATAGCGTTTGATTTCATAGTGCGTATTAGCGTGGATCGTTTAATAGTATAGTCCGCTTTAGTACGGCAACGTAATTTCATAACGCACATGCGCGTATTCCGCTTAATTTCCCAGTCTGTATTGGCACCGCCGCCTAATTTCATAACGCACATTAGCGCTGCGATTTTATTGTATAGTATACATTAGCATGTACACTTAATTTCATACTACAAGTAAGGCGCGCATCACCTATTTAATATCGCACATTTATTTTATTTCATAGAGCAAATCAGTATAATAATTCAATTCACAGCATTCAGCCATTGTTTTTATTTTTTTTATTAATTTTAATTTCATTTTTTACCCACGTGACTTTACCGAAAGAACTAAGAGTATTCAGCCATTTTCTATCCACTGCTGCGATGAATTCACCAATTTCGCCCCTTCCCCAGCCGACGAAGCTGATTTCATCACTCAGCTGGGTTGATCCCTCCTTGGGCTGCCATTCCGTCACCACTCTCTATGGACCACCATCACCTCTGGTGTGACCTACCCAGCGAGCCAGCTGAACTATATTGTTAACGATCAATTTAACAGGTTAAACACGTGGCCTAACAGTGGCTAGGAGATGTTAACTACCTCGCCTGCTATACAGGAGGTCGTGGGTTCGATCCTGACCCTGACGCCTGCTGCTGTATATTTGGAGTCTGCGTGTGTTTCTCTCTCTCCCCGTGGTCGCGTGGATTTTCCTCCAGTTTTTCTCTCCACATTTAGAATAAACATCATGCGTTTATAGTAGTTTGGCTGCTATACATCTCCACGTGATAAGCCACTTCGCTGAGTTATCATTTGTGGGCAGTTCGCCTTTGAAATAGAAGCTCAGTGGGCCTTACGTGGTCAAATTATCCCTCCACCAACCAACATAGCCAATTATCACAACTTGATACAACTTTCCATTATAACAATGAATACGTCCTTTAGCCCATCAACCCATTAGCCTTCTTTCCCAACACTGAACGGAGGAAATGTTTTAAGCAGGCAAACTAGAGCCATCCAAACAAGAGCCGGTTTGATCAAGCACACCGCATGCCATATGTTTTGTGGTACATACCTTGCATGATGCAACCATGCCAAGAAGCAAATCACAACTGGTGGAATGCATGGAATGGAAGATTGTGCAAACAAGTAAAAACCAGACTGGTACAAAAATAACAACTTTTTTTGGTTGGAAACTCAATCTTGATTTGAAGCTTTCGTGACTGCAGGAATCCATCCTCTTTGATTCTTTCGGTAAAGTCACGTAGGTAGAAAAATAAAATAAAAAATAATACATCACGACGTTTCGATCGCAACACAAGCGATTGTCCTCTGGCGGAAAAAATAATCCAACAGTAGAACTGCTGAACCAGGTAGAACACAGCGAGAGAGCTGCTACAACAAGAGGTTATATATGTTGGCCAAGGGCAAGAAGGTGCTGCTGTGCTAATCTCTCTCCCTAATCTCTCTCTCCCAAATCTCCCCCGTTAACACAACTGATGTGCTTGCGTGCGGGGATGGGACTCCTTTCCAGCTCGGAAACCAGCTCGGAAACCGAGCTGGAAAAAAAAGTTTTAAAGAATTAAATGGGGGGTCACAAGACATCTGGAGCACCCTCTACATCGCCCCCGACTACGAAAACTTAGCAAGACCCTCCTGAAAAAGAGGCACGAGACTCAGAAGGAAACGAGCGTGTCAAACTATTCACAAATTGGTGCTACCTTGGCTGATAGCCTCGGCTGTCCCTGGGGCTCGTCGCAATTTGTTGTTTTCGGTGCTCCTAAGCCCCGGTAACTTCAAATTACGACAAAAATTACATCTATAAACCCTCACCTCATCTACATCAATGACCTCTACAACCACATCTCCCATGCGGTGACGGTGGTGGTGAGGCTCATTGATGGTGGTGACGGTGGGCAATTATTCCAAGAACTTAAGAATTGTTCCGTGATTTTTTTTATGGATTTGAAAAAACCCCATCAGTTTTTATACTTTCTAGAATCATTTCTTTGCTGCATGTATTCTTCTTTGGTTTATTTTTGTGATGTACCGTTGATAGCGCCTTGGATATACAGGGTAAAACCTTGGATTGCGAGCATAATTCGTTCCGGAAGCGTGTGTGTAATCCAAAGCACTCTTATATCAGTTGTGATCACGTGACGCTCGGCAGACAAAGCGTATACACGTACTACTCGTATTGCAAGACCTCGCTCGTTTATCAAATTAATATTTACTTTAAAATGTTGCTCGTCTTGCAAAACACTCGCAGACCAAGTTACTCGCAATCCAAGGTTTTCCCTGTATAGGTGGATCTATACCAGACAGGCGGCACAGAGTAATCACAAATAAAATAGACGTGACTTCATCCTGGGCGGTGCTGCTGCGTCACCTTCTTGCTCCTCTCTCTCCCATGTTTCTCTGCTCGAAACCCTGCCCTAACGTATGTACGTTGCATGTCGAACTTCTTTCGCACCGTACGTAGCCGACCGTGATATGTATCGTAGTTTATTCACCTCTGTTGTGTCTTTAAATGTGGTCGTTTCTATACGCCGTATAAACTGAAGCTGATGTTCATTAAAATTCATTGAACCACGTGTATACCTGTCAATGTCAGAGTGTTTGAAAGTGTTCATATAACCTACAAAGATCTCCAAAAAAGCCTGAATACTGTTGGGACAAGTGCTGTCAGTGAGATGCTGTTTTACGCACCGCACCGGGTACTCATTTGAGGTTGAGTCGACCTAGGAGAGGCACCGGGACCGGTTCAGATATTCGTCCGTGGTGTTGTAACCTAGCACACATCAACACAGGCTGCCAAATCCCATTACTTACTTAAGCGCACTTTAAGTTCATAAGCACAACTCAAAAACACTCGCCACACTAATCAATGGAAACACATTCACTGTGCGATCTTGATTTGAAGCTTCTGTGACTGCAGCAATCCATACTCTTTGGTTCTTTCGGTAAAGTCACGTGGGTAGAAAAATAATAAAATAAAATAAAAAATAATAAATCACCACGTTTCGATCGAAACACAAGAGGTGTATATTGACTGAAATAGGTGGATAACATTGGTTTAAAATGACCAGTTTCAAGTTTATTTAGATTAACCAACCAGGTGGGGATTCAAGTGACCGGGATGAGTCAAATTTGCAAGAGTCATCAGGATGACGACCGCGTGTGTTGCGATCGAAACGTCGTAGTTTTCTGTTATTTTCTTTGAACCTATCTACGTGACGATACCGAAAGACCCAAAGAATATGAATTCCTGTAGTCACGAAAGCTTTAAGTCAATATTTAACACAAACATTGATTTCCCCGCACGAATTAACGACTTGTACAATCCGTCACCGTAGATGTTTCCAGTTCACGTAAGAAAGCGAGCTTCCTCCGGGTTAGATGAAAGTGCCCTAGCGATGTGTCAACATGCTGCCATGACGACACAAACACTCAATTGTGTGTGTGTGTGGTCACCCACGTTTGTACACAAACACGTGTCGCCCAGGTGTATCTTGTTCCTCCTGTCGACAGTCTGCTCCCCACCCATAGTCACGTGGAATTTCCAACAAGTACGGTATATCTTCTTGGTTCTTTCGGTAAAGTCAAGTAGAAGAAAAATAATAAAATAATAAAAATAAAACATAATAAAATAATTCTCACGACGTTTCGGCCACAACGCAAGCAGCCGTCCTCAGGTGAAGACCAGGTCTGTCGGGGAGACAGCGTCTGAATGAAACACCACCACGCTTGGAGAGTATATTTAAGCTGGGTTGGAAGGGGAAGAGCGCCTTGACAAAAGAATTTGCATATCAAGAGGAATTTAGCATATTTATGGGAAATGCAGATATGTGATTGGTACTACTTGTGAAATGCGTAGGAGGTGGACGGGGGGTTTCAAAGTCATATTATGCCCGTGCATTATGCTGAATTAGCAGCACCTGCAGTCACGAAAGCTTTAAATCGAAATTTAAGTACGGTATAGTTTAAATATTTCCATTTTCCATCCGGGAAACATTTCCATCGGATGGTATTACCGTGGCATCGGCTAACCTGAGATGGTGAATGTTTTCTCCACCGATATATATACACGCCTTTGTTAATTCCATCCTCTAAACTGGAGAAACATTCTTTCCCACTATCGTTCTAAAATAGCATCACAGGAGGGCATGTGACACGCGAGTTGAAGCCATTACGTTGGCTGTTGAGAAACGCACGTGGGGTTGGGCAGGACGTGTTAACGAAATCAGTGGTTCTCATACCTGTCAACCCCTTATCAGTGCCCTACCTCATTCCAGACCAATTCAGACCTTGCTGGTCACCCCGTGCCTTTATAAATCTCAACGTTCATCCGACAAAGTCTCATCACAAGAGAGAAACACACAAAAATAGACAATCGCCACCACTGCACTCACCACTAGTACACCAACCACGACACTCACCACTAGTACACTCACCACTACACTCACCACTAGTACACCAACCACTAGCACACTCACCACTAGTACATTCACCACTACACTCACCACTAGTACACTAACCACTACACTCACCACTACTACACTCACCACTAGTACACCCACCACTACATACCTGTCAACCCCTTATCAGTGCCCTACCTTATTACAGACCAATTCAGACCTTGCTGGTCACCCCGTGCCTTTATAAATCTCAACGTTCATCCGACAAAGTCCCATCACAAGGGAGAAACACAAACAAACAGAGATTTAAAAAAATTGCCCGTATTGAAACGTCTGTACGCTGTATGGACCTGAAAACTCAATTTTCCTGTACAAGAACACGGGGTAAACCCTATGGGTTCACAGGTTATGGGTTCTCAACTGGGGTAGGGACGGTGGGTACGTGGGTACCCCTGGGGGTAACGTGGGGTGATTTATAAACGTGTGAAATGAGATCACACACGAGAGTCATTGGTGAATAATTATCACGTGTGAGTCTGCCAACAGTAAAATAACCACGATGTATTTTTTTTATCTATAAGGTAAACCTATAATGATGTAAAAGACCTTTCTAAGCTCAGAGTAAACAATGTCGGTTTCCAAGAGTTAAACAGCGAGCGTGAACAAATGATGTCGTGCATGCAGTCGTTACATTTTAAAAAAATTATCTTGCAGTTACTTAGCTAGTTAGGATATACTTCACAAAATGGACAATCGGGTTCGAATATCGATGTTCATTATTCATATTATTTATCAAGAACCATGTTGGGCCAGGCAAGGCAGGGGGTTACTCGGTTGAAACCAATTTCAATAAGGGGGTTGGGTAGGAGCCCACAAATGTTGAGAAGCACTGCGTTAAAAAGTACATTTGGGGCCGTCCATAAATGACGTCACGCACCTAGGGTGGGGGGTGGTCAGACATTTGTGACGATGTGTGACGGGTTTGAGAAATGTGACGTCACATCAAAATGCGCAACTTTAAGTAAATATAGACAACACGTTCTACTTAATTAAATAGACGTTTTAATAAATGTTTTCTCCTACAACATCAGAGTGCAGCGGCACATTAAATAACGCACTACAATGACAATAGTTTAAAGCGATTTGAAGCATGTTTCATTTGGGGGGGGGGCAGAGCTTTGTGACGTCATATTTGAGGGGGGGGGTCTGACTTTTTGTGACGCCGTGTGACGATGGGGGGGGGGGGATCAGAAATCATTCAAAATCGCGTGACGTCATTTATGGACGGCCCATTTTCCAGACACTGTAATAATCTCCAAGGCAGCGGTGGACACAACACTTTGTATTCTTGGTTCTTTCGGCAAAGTCACGTAGAAGGGAAATAATTAAATAATAAAAATAAAACTATTAAATTCTCACGACGTTTCGATTGCAACACACAGAATTTTTTGGTTTTATTTTTATTCTTTTATTATTTCCCTTCTACGTGACTTTACCGAAAGAAGCAAGAATATGAATCCCTGCAGTCACGAAAGCTTTAAATCGAAATACAACACTTTGTGTTTACAAATTACAACGGCCACAGGAAATGATACCTGCCACAATACAAGACGGTACACTCACAACAGCACGCACGCGCGTTCCTCCACGATCCATACCACAGAGCTCTCAGCCTGTACGGTGTTATACCCCGTGTTCTTGTGCTGGGAAATGTAAGTTTTCACGTCATACGGCGTACATTCGTTTCAATGCGGGCAAAAAAAATTAATATTAAGTTGTCTATTTTTGTGTGATTCTCCCTTGTGATGGGACATTGTAGGATGAACGTTGAGATGTATAAGGGGCACGGGGTGACCAATACGGTCTGGATTGGTCCCTAATAAGATAAATACTGATAAGAGTTTGACAGGTATGCACTAAAGGGGCCGTCCATAAGTGACGTCACGCGATTTTGGAAGATTCTTGACCCCCTCCCCCTTCGTCACACGGCGTCACAAAGTCAGACCCCCCCCCCTCGAATATGACGTCACAAAGCTCTGCCCCCCCCAAATAAAACATGCTTCAAATCGCTTTAAACTATTGTCATTGTAGTGCGTATTTAATGTGCCGCTGCACTCTTGATGTTGTAGGGAGAAAACATTTATTAAAAAGTCTATTTAATTAAGTAGAACGTGTTGTCTACATTTATTTAAAGTTGCGTATTTTGATGTGACGTCACATTTCTCACCCCCCCCCCCCCCTCGTCACACATCGTCACAAATGTCTGACCCTCCCCCCCCTAGGTGCGTGACGTCACTTATGGACGGCCCCTTATTTGTTAAGGACCATCACTGTCTCGTATTCACCACCACCACCACAGTGCATTGCGCCTCTTGAAATGTTGAGGGATATTTTTTTTTACCGAATTCGTGTTATTTTTGGTTTCGCACCCCTGCACCGAGCCCCAGGGGTTGAGTTTCAGCTGGTTAGCGTCCCATTAAATATTTCCTCACCCGGCATTGCACATCCATGAGTATGGATTCCTGCAGTCACGAAAGCTTCAAATCAAGAATGCCACATCCAGTAATTGTCCTGCGGAGGGAGCTGGTAGAAACGTTGGGTTGCTCGGTCAATGGCCTGCAGGGTCAACGGCGGCGTGGTGTATTCCGCAAATATGCCCGACTGCGAGGGCGGACACAAGCCGGCGTGAGTAGGTTAAACGTTGAGTTTTATAAGGGCACCACAGGGTGACCAGCCCCTCCCCTCCCCACCCCCCACCCAGCCCCTCCCTCCCACCCCCCACCCAGCCCCACACTCCCCACCCTCCTCTCCCCACCCAGCCCCACCCCTCCCACCCCCCATCCAGCCCCACCCTCCCCACCCAGCCCCTCCCCTCCCACCCCCCACCCAGCCCCACCCTCCCCACCCAGCCCCTCCCCACCCTGCCCCTCCCCACCCACCCAGCCCCTTCCTCCCCACCCAGCCCCTCCCTGCACGACGGACGGACGGACACAATAATCCCCTGTGGGCTGGTGAAACCAGGAGGTTCCTACCAGTAACAGGACCCTGCGGGGTGGGCTGGTAGGAACGAATAACCAAAGAATATAAACATAATGTATTACTATTATTACACTTGTTTAGCCAGGAAAGCCCCACTGAGTCTAAAGGTTTTTGTAGGGTCCTGCCAAGTGTTTGCAGTAGGGGGCGATGTTGCTACACCGAATCGGACGATACGAAGGGAGATATTGAGGCGTAGTTCGAGGCTTTAGGCCGAGCTGTAGGCGTTAGGGCGCTGTGAGTTTTTTTATTTAACTTCAAAGTTTAAATTAAAAGCTATCTCAGGGAATTATGAGGGAATGTTACACGTGTTTAGCCAGGAAAGCCTAATTAATTTAAATGTTTTAATTAAAAGCTATCTGAGGGAATTATAAGGGAATGTTACACTTGTTTAGCCAGGAAAGCGTCACTGAGTCTAAAGGTTTTTGTAGGGTCATGCCAAGTGTTTGCAGTAGGGGGCGATGTTGATACACGGACAAACGGACGGACGATATAATCTATTGGTGTCTGGTCCACTTCGTTCCTACCAGTATAACCCTCGCTCTGGCTACAGCACACACGCGCATTCCTTGGCACGTGCCATCCACTCCGGTCTACCCGCGAATATTCACTGAGAAAAGGAAATTAACAGCCCAGCTCCCCCTCCATCACCCAGCTCATTGTCCTCACCATAACCCCCCGAGTTCGATGCCCACATGGCCCCAGCCTGAGTCTCGGGCCTAGCTGGTAGAAGCACGTGATGGAGCCTGCCTCGGGCCTAGTTGAACGCGCACGTGGTCGAGCGCGAGACAATAGCCGCCGTTCGCCACCAAGTGGCGATGGCGTCACCACAGCACGTGTGCTTTGGGATAGGAACACGTTGAGGTCACGTGAAATGCCGAAGGCTCACTGACGGGAGGTCAAGGGATAGAGACCCAGGTGCCATGGGTTGACTGGCAGGGGCACCAGCTGTGCCCCCGACTGTGCCAACTTGCTGCGTTTTAGTTGCCTCGTGCACCACTCGTTGTTGTGAGCGCACTCCTACCGCCATCAGTTGTTGCTCGAGGGCGACTGCCTCCAACTGCCCAGTAGCGTCCTTCACAAGTCTCCTCCACAGAGGCCGATCTTGACACCACCGCTGGTGCCAGTCATCTGCAAGTCCAATCATCTCCACGTCGCATCAGTCCATCTCTTTTCTATCCCGTGCCGCGCTCGTTTCGCCCCCTGCCGCCAAAAAGAAGCTACTTGGACACGCGGTGTCTGGGCATGCGGGCTACTTGACCCCCCAGCCTTTGGCGGGCCGAGTGGGTCATGCACATGGCAGAGTCTGAGATGAGCAAAGTGATGAACGGAATGTGAAAAATTAGAGGTTTTAAAAATATCTATTTTTGCATCCGCATACTTTTTTTACCAATTTTTTTAGGAATACAAAAAGACGCTTATTACTGGAGTTTATGTTAAAGAATGCCACGGATTTTCAATGGACGTTTCTTTACGAGCTTTCAAGACTCCTATAAGATTATAGCAAGTGTATATTTTTATCCACTGTAAATGTATTTTGCACAAGATATGGAATCCAGTTACATAAAGGAGTCTCATTTAATGCTTGAGCATTTAATGTTTGGGCATTACAGGTTTAAATATGGTGTCATTGTTGGTCTTAAATTTTAGTGATGGATCACGGAACCGTTTGAAATCCACCCGGATGGATCAGTACTTGGTGGTAACCACGAGTTGGAGAGTAAACACAAGTTTGCGGCACTGCCATTTTCTGTCAACATTGCCAAGCAGCAGCCTCTAATACCCACCGGTTTCACACGGTGGTGGCCACCGCTACAAGCATTGTCCAAGCTCAAATGCTACTTAGCTTTCAAAGATCTCAGCTCTCGGTTACAGACGAAGGGGCTCTAAGAGGATTTATGCAACCAAAGTCGTGGGTTCAGACGGTGGTGATCAATGCGTGTTTGGGAATGTTTTGAGCAGAGCACGCGTCATCCACACTGCACACGTCACAATTCCCACATACAAAATATCATACAAACGCACCGTCACTGTTTTTATTCGTACTTTACTACGGCTAAAGTAACCACAATTATATATAACACTAACATAATTATCATTTATTTTAAATGTTAAGGTAAAGTCACACAACCGAAAAAACGAAAATATGTTACTCTCATTAGCACACATACACTGGTATCTCTAACCAACTATAGAGAAATGATGCTTGTTGAAATATGAACATTTGTTGAATGCTCAAGAAAAAGCAATATCGTTAAGCATAAACATCTGTATTTGCGGTTCTAAGCACATGTTAGGTCCTTCTGTTCACTGCAGTAAATTGCGAGGCTGTTGAACAGCGATGACCTGTAATGGAATATTTATCTGCTTTTTTAGCGTGGCAGTTTTTAACCTGTCAATCGTGCCCAATTGAGACCCGAAAAACGTAAGCAAAAAAATAATCACTGCCACCAATAAAAACCAACGAACCACATACTCTTTGTTTTTTTGGTAAAGTCACGTCGTTAAAAAAATTAAATAAATTAAATCACGACGTTTCGGGCGCAACACAAGCGTTCTTTTTTTTTACCTACGTGACTTTACCGAAAAAACCAAAGAATATGAATCCTTGCAGTCACGAAAACGTCAAATCTAGAACCAACGAAGCACACCTGCATACGTCACGTGTTATTGAAGAGGCCAAGATAGCTGCTGCCCCTTGTAAAAAAAGCAACTACGACCGATTGCTCGGAATTTAGTTGGAGGATAAGGTAAGCAACTTGAAAGTTTGGAATAACAGGCGGATGGAAAGCACTGCGGATGTAATAATAAAGTTGAAGGTTTGTGATGGATCGGGGGGGGGGGGGGCACGTGCAGTATGAAAAGCAGGTTATTTTCTTCATTTACCAAATAGTCTGTTTTGTATATTTTGTAAACGGTGATGCCTTCATGTGTTGTTTTCATATCAATGAAATGTATGCTAGGCTGAGATTTTCGCAGAACTCTTATCGACATGGCTAGCTTATGGCCATGGCTAAACTCGGAAAAGCGAAACGATTTGTGGATTGTGCAAAAAAAGTTAAACGAGCTCCGTAACTCAAACTAAAACTTCCCTTACGCCAGGTAACAGCGTAAAATCAGAGTATCTCCAGAAATATCGGGACACACTTTCTAAAACATGACTAAAGGTATTGTACAGCTGTAGGGCTTAAGAGCTATGTACACATTTGTATGCACACACACACACACGTAGAATCACACACAATAATCCCAAGGGGTATTTAAGTCCTTTGAAACGTTGCACATTCTACATTTCTAATCGCATACAAGCATGCAGCATTAGATTCCATAGTGCACGTAGAAGAAACATTCAACGGCGAGTGATGTGGGCCTGTTTGGAGCGGTGGCACCTCTGCGGCGGAGGAGGAAAGGTGGACACCTGTGCCAAGCAACGTCGCTCATCCCAATACCATTAACGCAACGCATACAGGGTGATCGTAAATGCCCCTCCTGCGCTTAAAGTACCGGGCGAGACTTCTCGTATGCAGTTCTGTTACCCGCACCAACTCCAATAAACACACGGATCCCAACCGATCCGAAAATAATTCTCAACACGCTTTTAGTTTAATTCTTGGGAGTTTTTGGTTGTTGTTGTTATTCGTGCTTTGCACCACTGCCAATGCAGTATCACCAACATATGTGGGGGGACCTCATACGGATGGATTTACATCATTATACCTCCTTTGCCAGTACCAAAATATAATAGGGCTTTTCCCCTTTTTTCTGGCAAAAAAACTGAAACCTTTTTTTACGAGGATTCATGTCTGCATTAACCACAATACTTGCAGTCAAAATGCAAACAAACTAAAAAATTATGACTGCAAGTATTGTAGTTAATGCAGACATGAATCCTTGTAAAAAAAGGTTTCAGTTTTGTTGCCAGAAAAAAAGGGGAAACCCTATTAATACGGATGTATTTGTTTCCTATTATTCACTTTATTAATAAATAAGTCACGCAGAGGTGCTCAAGGATTCGCTCCAACTGGAGGTAATCTGCCTATCAGTGGCCAGAAAGTGCAAAGTTCATCCTATAACCTCTTTATTTTCATGGATAAGAGCAGGTACCCAAAGTGGTGGCAAATTCATCCTGCAATCCGTGGCAATTCAGAGATAAGTTACCCAGAAGTGGTCTCCCAGAGGTGCTAAGTTCATCCTGTTGCCCACATTTTTCACATATAAGAGGAGTTAAGCAGAAGTCATCCCCCATCACAAGCAATTTCATTAACCCAAGTAACATCGAAACGCTGGCTTTCCACCCCCCCCCCCCCCAAATACATGCAACCAAACATCAGGGATGGACTTCACGATCACCCAGTATTTCACTGCATCACGATGTGGCACCTGTCCCACACAAGGGTTACCATCTAAACATCAGATATTGCTTAAGAAGAGATACCAAATATATTATTGGTTATTTCGGTAAAGTCACGTAGAAGAGAAATAATAAAATAAAATAATAAATTCTCACGACGTTTCGACTGCAACACAAGCAATCATCATCAGGTGTGAAATCCGCAGCAAGAACATTGGATTGCTTGTGTTGCAGTCGAAACGTCTCGATAATTTTATTGTTTTCTATTTTTATTATTTCCTTTCTACGTGACTTTACCGAAAGAACCAAGAATATGAATCCCTGCAGTCACGAAAGCTTTAAATCAAAATTATAAGAGATACCAAGTTGCTATTCAATGAGGGCTCAAGTCAAGGTGCGTGTCCTGACATAGAACGACTTAACCTGGCGACACCGCGTTCTTCCTCTACGTGGTCCCCTTGAAGTGCAACGCACTTGGTCCATCGCCAATCACCCAACGCTTGGATCTTTCCCTTGAAAAACTTTTCGTACAATTTGTTTTCATTTCACCAGGTAAGGCCCAGAAGCGACCTTGCCACACAAATAATAGCTCAACGAAGTGGCTCATCACGTGGAAATGTATGGCAGCCAAATGCTCCAAACGCGTGACGTTGATTCTAAATGTGGAGGGAAAAACCGGAGGACCCGGAGAAAAATATACGTGACCACGGGGAGAGCATGCGAACTCCAAATATACAGCAGGCGTCAGGGTCGGGATTGATCCCATGGACACGTGCATATCAGGTGAGGTAGTCAACATCTCGCCACCGTGGAGAGATGTTGTATGGCTTCATCGCCACGATAGAAATCGCTTTCCTAACATAGATTACACTGTGTAACAAAACATTTTTTTTGTTCCTAGGTAGTGCGCCTTGGTAAATAAATATTTTGTAGTAATTGTTGTATTAGTTTAGTATAAATACATGTTAATTTTGAATAATGTTTTTTTTTCTGACTTGATGTGAATGAAAAGACACCAATTCTCCCGTTTCCTCATTGAAAATAGGTACATTTCAAAATATCACTGTCCTGGTCACAAAAGCAAAATTTGTGGGGAATAATAGCCATTTTCTATACTTTGTAGGTATAAGCAATTAGGAAATAACACTACCCAGGAACAAACATTGTGTTACATAGTGTTATTCAGCAGTGGAAACTTGTGAGGGCCACATTTGGCAAGTGTGCGTTTCTCCACGCGGATGACGTCGAGGTTCTCTCAGATGTTTCTAGATTTCCCTGGATTCTTTTAGAGTTTTATTTATTTCAGTTTAACACATAAACGGGACTTGTAGAAAAAAATAACAAAGTTAATCGAATGCTCCGAAATGCGGAAATCGCTACAAACAATGTACACGCACTGTACTTTTAAATGAGCAGTTGCCCTTCGTTGTAGCATCAATCGGTCTATGTCAGACCAAGACAAAGCATTGCATACGTTGAGCAACAACTTGCAATCCTGCAATTGCCGAGCAAAACTAACATATTAGTATTGCTATTACAAATGCATGTGTTTATCCAGTTAAGCCTCAAGGCCTAGGACATTTGGCCAGTTTTCCGATGAGTACTTGTGAGTAAAACCAGAGTGCTTTACGGACAAGTCAGCAACCCCGCTTGTTGCGCCACCCACTGCAGGCAAAAACCACCAACCACGTGTCCAAGCCACCATTGCAGGGCATGCGCTGCCACAAAGCCCAGCAGGTGAGCTAGCTCACGGCACACGCCGTCACACCGATGAGGACACCGTCGTGGTGCGTGAAGATGTCGTCACCGCTGCTGGAGCGCAGAGTGGAATCTACAAGGTGCAGGTGTTGCCCAACGCGAGTGAATGAGGGGGGCCAGGTGTTGCGGCCGGACAAATAGCAAACCCCCCCCCGATCGGTGCGGCGACAAGAGGCCACCGCTCCCAGCAGATTTCGTTCCTCGACAAACGAAACGGTCGAAGCAGCAGGAAAGACGAAAGGAACTGCAGCAGCAATAGACCTGATGAGCGACCGCCGCAGAGGATAAGAGCTGTCTTTGGAAAAAGGATTACGTCGGACTCCTATGCTGCAAAACACTACACGGCGTGCCGAGATTAAGGGGCCGATCATACACGCGTGCGTGTTCATGTACATGCCTGTGTCTATGCTCCATGCGCTGTGTGTGGCTGCGTGCCAACGGGGTGGATTTGTAGCAGGAAAGCAGCAGGCTTGAACAAAAGCTAACGTTCAGATGTTCTCAACAACCGCTGACGGAAAGCACACGGGCACGACCACCGACCTGGGCAACTAGAACGGGGAGAAGGACAAATTTAGTCTGAAACATTCAAAATAAAACTTCTCAACTATACATATACTTTGCCAACTTATCACGAAATCCCACGTTATACTTATTTGAGCCATTTGCTCACAAGAGTTTACGGGTGTGTGTATGGTAGGTGTGTGTATGGCTAGGTGTGTGTATGGCTAGGTGTGTGTGTGTGGTTGGGTGAGTAAAAGTGTATGCGTATAACTGTAATATGTGTGTATTGGCATTAGTGTACGTGCACAAATTTGCACGTGTCTGGCTGTGCACGTGGGGAGAGCAGGAGCGCGGTGGTTATCGTACTACGCTACCCACGTTTGATTCCCCATCATGGCCAACATTGGGGCTGGGGTATCTGAACTGGTCCTGGGCCTCCCCTAGGTTGACTCAGTCCTAAAAGAGTACCTTGCGCGGAGTGCAACATCAGCACCGGGGAAACAAAGATGGCTGGGCACGGTGCTGCCCAACTACCCGGTCGCGTGCCATGTTGGGATTCAGAGGTGCTCGCGACAGCACTTTCCCCAACAGTTTACTAAAAGGCTACAGGATGTCTTTGTTTTGTACGTGGCTTTGGGGTGTATATTTATGGCGGTACACGTATATGTAATGTGTGCGCCATCATGCACGCGGGTGTGTATCACACCGCTATTTTTGTCAACGTGCGCGCACGTGCTCGCCTGCACGCGTAACAGCGCAATACGTAGGTGTGCGAGTGCACGCGTATGAACACACGCACGCGTGCGACAGCGCTCGTGCATGTGTGCATGCATGTGTATGTGGTCATGTTCACGTGTGCACGTGTGCAAGTGTACTCTTGATACCATGCTGCCGGCCTTGAGCCAATGGAAACATCTCCGAGCGCAGTCACTGGTTTCTCTCGTCATTGCTGTTGCTGCTGTTATTGAGCTGTGCATTGTGGGCCATGAGCAGGCATGTAACAATTCACCCACCAGCAATTGGAAAGAATCGCGATGCAAGTCACGAATCAATCGTTTTTTTCCGTATTGTTTCTATCGCCCCATTCATTTTGTTCCATCTCGTTCATTTCTGACTGCCTAAAAATAAATGATCGTGCATTTTGCAACGCAACAGAATTTGGATTTATATATCATCTAAATGCACCTCAAGACGCTGTACGGAAGCGGTGGGCAAGTCTCGTGTGTAGGGGTGGTCCAGTCATCGGCAGATGGGAAAAAATCGGAAGGTCTTGAGCTTGGAGCTGTGGCAGGGAGTCGAGAGCACAGTGTCCTCCCACTGATCGAAGGTTGACTGCCGACTTCAATAGAAATGCCTTGCTTGGCTTGCGAAGCATACATCGTAAATGATTGATGCTTAAGACGTGAAATTTGATGCACGCGTCGTGAGCAAAAGAACACATTTGAATCATTTGCGTGCAGAGTGAATCGTTACATGCCTCGTGCGCGACCTGATGGAGTTGTATAAATCACGGCGATGATTATGATGACGATGATGTTGACACCACCGATGCTAATGCAGCTCCCTTAAGACTCACTGTAGTCGGCGCTGTTATTCTCCGTGCTGTAGTTGTAGTGGTGGTTGTTGTTGTTGTTGTTGTGGTCGGTGTGGCTGGGAGCTAGCGCTTTTTGGGGAGTGTGCCTGCACGTTGCGGGGTCACTGGGCGGTTGGCGTTCAGGACGCCGTACTGGTACTTGGGCTTCTTCTCCGCCGGCTTCAGGATCTGAATATTGCAAACGACGACAGAAAACACAGCACAGCAATGCAGAATTACGGCACCTTCGTTTCATGCCACATGTAAGGGCCCACTGGGCTGGGAAAAAAACAACGACAGACCGAGGGGCGCAGGTTAGAGACGTCGAATTGACCGTTAAGAAAAGGAACCGGCCCTGAGGCAGGACGCGTGGCTAGAAGGGACGACAGCCAGCGGCCAAGATGAACGATGTAGTAGCAGCTCAGGGAGAGAATGCGTCCGAGAGAACGTCAACCGTGGAGATAAAGCAATGACATCAGCTCGTGCGCGCAGGTACTAAACTAAACAATTAAAATTTACCAGGTTAAGTTCTTTTTCAGAAGCGATCTGGCCACCAATGATAGCTCAACGAAGTGGCTTATCATGTGGAAATTTAAAGAAGACAAACAGTCGAAACGCGTGATTCTAAATGTGGGGGAAAAAAACGAGAGGGCCCGGATAAAAATCCACGCAACCAAGGGGAGAGAACACGCAAACTCCAAATATACAGCAGGCGTGAGGGTTGGGATCAAACCCACGACCTCCTGGAAACCAGGCGAGGTAGTTAACATCTCCTAACCACCGTGGTACTGGATTGACTGATAATATCGCAAAACCAAGGGAGATGGCAATGACAAGGGGAGGCCTTCATCCAGCAGCAGTCGGCTGATAATGGCTGATAATGTTTGAACGTCGAAATAGGATGAATTTTTCACCACGTTCGCGATGACTCCTATTAAGTGCAAATACACACAGATAATAGGCAGAATCTGTCTGCGGATTACATGCGATTCTGTGGATCGACTGGTGGTACACATTAAGACCTCAGAAAACAGGCATTTGTGGAGTTGTCTATCATCTGTAGCGTTCAATAAATGAACAGGAGACAGGGAGATGGGGGACGCAGGGTGATGGCGGTGAGTAGGGAGCTGATGGTGAGCGAGAGGGGCGGTACCTACTACAACTTTTTATTTTACCAGGTAAGGCCCACTGAGCTATACAGCTCTTTTTCAGAAGCCACCAGGCTATAACAAATGATAGTTCAACGAAGTGGCTTATCACGTGGAAATGTATGGAAGCCAAGTACTCTAAACGCACGTTGTTTATAAATGTGGAGGGAAAAACCGGAGGACCCGGAGAAAAATCCAAGCGACCACGGGGAGAGAGAGCGAGAGAGACACGTAAACTCCAAATATACAGCAGGCGCTAGGGTCGGGATCGAACCCACCACCTCCTAATTCTAGATTTGAAGCTTTCGTGACTGCAAGGATTCATACTCTTTGGCTTTTTCGGTGAAGTCACGTAGGTAAAAATAATAATAAATGAAAACAACTAAATTAAATCACGACGTTTCGGAGGCAACACAAGCGTCCGTCTTCAGGTGGAACCGTTACAGTAATTTTGGCTGTCACCGTTCCACCTGAAGACGGAAGCTTGTGTTGCCTCCCAAACGTCGTGATTTAAATTAGTTGTTTTCATTTATTTTATTTTTTACCTACGTGACTTTACCGAAAAAACCAAAGAGTATGAACCCACCACCCCCTGTATAGCCGGCGAGGTCGTCAACATCTCCTCGCCACCGTGGCACCCACCTGGAAGGAGCACATGAGCGTTTCGTCCACGCTCATCATCGCGCCGGCGTTGTCGAACTCCCCGCAGTAGTTGGGCGCGGAGAAGAGCGTGACGAGTTGGCGCTTAGCGAAGAACTCATAGCCGTCCTCCACCACCTGCGCCCGCGGGGAGGGGGCGGAGGGTGTGGCGGGGCAAGAGGCGAGAGGCACGACCACACCGGGTCACGGCCATACATGCGAAATACGGCATGCTGCAACCAACAGAGTCGTGCAGCCGTGTGCATTGATCTGTGCAGCCGTGTGCATTTCTTGGTGCAACTGTGTGCACTGATATGTGCAGCTGTTTGTATTGTTCTGCGCAGTTGTGTGCATTGATACATGCAGAGGTGTGCATTTGTCTGCGCAGCTGTGTGCATTCATACATGCAGCTGTGTGCATTTCTTGGTGAAACTGTGTGCATTGATACATGCAGCTGTGTGCATTTCTTGGTGAAACTGTGTGCATTGATACATGCAGCTGTGTGCATTTCTTGGTGAAACTGTGTGCATTGATACATGCAGCTGTGTGCATTTCTTGGTGAAACTGTGTGCATTGATACATGCAGCTGTGTGCATTTCTTGGTGAAACTGTGTGCATTCATACATGCAGTGGTGTATTTATCTGTGCAACTGTGTGCATTGATACGTGCAGCTGTCTGCATTGCTCCATGCAGCAGTGTGCATTGCTATGTGCAGCTGTCTGCATTGTTCTGCGCAGCAGTGTGCATTGCTAGGTGCAGCTGTGTGCATTGCTCCATGCAGCTGTGTGCATTGCTAGGTGAAGCTGTGCATTGTTCTGTGCAGCAGTGTGCATTGCTATGTGCAGCTGTGTGCATTGCTCCATGCAGCTGTGTGTACTGCTGTGCATACAGCTGTGTGTACTGCTCTGCATACAGCTGTGTGTATTGCTGCGTATCGAGCTGTGTGTCTATGTATGCCATTTGCTCTGCTGTTGCTTTATATAGATCTATTGCTTAGTTATTAACATCCCACTGCAGGGCAAAGGCCTCCTCCGAATGTCTTAACAATCTCTTGCCACCTACATCCAGTGCTACCGATTGGTATTCTAATCTCACGAGCACCGCCCACGCATTTGTGCGGGTTCCACGGCCGGGGTGGAGGGGTAGATTGGGGGGGGGGGAGGCATGACACGAGCGCGCCCCACGAACCCCGGTCCAAGGTGCGGGTGGCGTCATTACCATGCAGAGGCGCGTGGCGATGTCACCACTGCGCACTTACCTGCCCGCACGCCAGGCAGCCAGCCAGCAAAACTTTTTTCTACGACAGTATCATCCATTCTAGATTTGAAGTTTTCGTGACTGCAAGGATCCATACTCTTTGGTTCATTCGGTAAAGTCACATAGGTGAAAATAAAAATAAAAGATAAAAAAATAAAAAATAACTAAATCATCCAGTCTAATTTTTTGTCCACATCTCTTTCTCTCCATCGGCATGATTCGGTTTGTTAATTTTGCTCATCCGTCATGTGACCGAGCTTGGTGTTTTGGCCAACTGGATTAAAGTTTTTGTTGACCACGTTCTAAAATTACATCCGTGACCGTGGTTTAAATTCTGTATTCTTCATTTTTCTAATTTTGGCCATTCTCGTTAAGTTCAAAATCCTCCTCTCCATGGCTCCTTGAAAAACTCGTAACTTTCTCGTTCTTGAGTTAAGGAGCAGGATTGGGCCCCCGGAGGTCATCACTGGTAAAATACAAGAGTCCACGGGTCTCTGATACAGACACACACTGCTCATTTTCCCTTCATGAACCTCTTCAATCACCACAAACTTTTCTCAGCACTTGTGATTGTTTTTTGTCGAATGAAACTACTTGTCCTGAATACGTATAAGAACAATTAAAATATTTTTTGCATTGACTCTTAAGATTTTTTTCCTTTAAAAAAAATCGATCATTATTTTAGTTTTGTTCTTATAAATGTTTTAAACTCCTGAAATATAATTACTGTGTTCATCTCAATCTTATATCTCATTTAACGTCATATTTTGATTCATAAAATAAAATAATCTGATATCTGAACTTGGTGAAATTTATTTAGGTGCATTGGGATCTACAAATGAAATATGTCTTAAAAATGTAACTTATTATGATCACTGTTGATCCCATATGACTCCCCGATTTATATTGTCAAACACAGACTCTAAATCAGACATGAATAGCATAGATGGAGAAATAAGATTTTCCCAATTGACTCCTCTACAGAATTAAAAACTATTACCTTGTATTTAGAATCTAAAACGAGCAATGCCATTGTTGTCAATTAATTTTAGAATTCATGCGTACTTTGTAATCAACTCTTCGGTGTTTTAGGAGATATTAAATACGGTTCTTTAAAAGACATGCGTGCGTGTGTGTCACTGTGGGTGGAGCTGGTGCATCTGCCAATCATCTCAGTCAGCCAACCCGTGGCACCTGGCTCTCGTGACCTGTCAGCAAGCATTCGACACTTCACGTGGCCTCAAAGTGCACCTGGTATGGCACAGGCGCCTTGGTGACATCACCGTCACTTAGTGGCGATTGGTGGGTATTGGTTGGGTGGAATGGTGGTGTAGCGGTTGGTGCGCTGCGCTCCGAGCCTGACGACCCAAATTCAATTCCCGCTCGTGTCCAACACCAGTGACGATTATACTAACCAGTGCTGGGCCTTCCCTACGGTCGACTCAGTCTTAGAAGAGTACCTGGTGCGATGTGCAACATCAGCACTGGGGAAACAACGATGGCTGGGCATAGTGCTGGCCACGTACCCCGCACGTGTGCCATTCCGGCCTTCGTGGGTACTCGCTAACAGCACTTGTCCCAACAGTCTGTTAAGGCTATACGGGGGAGCTTTGCCCTTGTATGTCGCAGTGTGATTATGTGACCCCGATGGTCGAATAGTAAGCGAGTACCTGGTGCGATGTGCAACATCAGCACTGGGGAAACAACGATGGCTGGGCGTGGTGCTGGCCACCGACCACCCTTCGTGTGCCGTGCGGCCTTCGTAAGTGCTCGCTAACAGCACTTTCCGCAGAATATTTTTAAAGGCTATATGGTGGGGATCTTTGTATTTGTCACTGTGTGTGTATATATTACTGTGTTTACAGATGTACAGTTAATAAGTATACAAAACAATTACGACAGCGGATATTCTGATGTTGGCTGGGTCTCTTTAAGGCAGCCGGTTTAAATGTATTCATTCAGTCAGCGGTCAAGGCACACAACCTCATTGACGCTTTTAGATCCCAGGTCCTGATTAGGATCAGAAGATGTCAACTTAAGATCGATGTTGGTCGAGGCTTTCAATATTTGGCCATTCAGTCTGGGTTCTGCCAGAAGATGTGCCTCCAACAAGGCGATGAAAACAATAGGATCAATTGTCAGGGTCAACCGACGGTTGAAGGTGCAATTCTGTCACTGGCGCCAGAATTTTTTTGAAGGTACAGACCATAAACAACAAGTGGAGTCATGCTTGGACCTTTCCCAGTCATTAACTGACGTGCTTGGATCTGTTTCAGAAACACTGAGGCTAGGCTATCTGAAAGGTCATGCCTCAGTCAGAAGATACATCTTGCAGAGGGCATCTGCAGATTCAGAGTCATTGGGAGTGGAGTTTATCAAATCAGACATCTCCATAGCATCCAGCAGAGAAAGTTACCCTATAGGGAATAGGCTCAAACATGTGAGTATACTACCCAGCCAGAGGGCTAGGAATGACAGCGCAAATTCCACGCAGCCAGAGTGATGGCTGGGGTAAGAGTACACCACTGGTGAGCCAGCTCAGTGGAATTTGGTAATTTACAAAAGGGGAAGAGATGCTGAGAGCCACAGTGAAGTCACCATTCATGAGCGCATTGAAACTAAACTGAAAACTAAAATACATTTTATTATTATCAGGTAAGGCCCACTGAGCTATGTATCTATTTTTCAGAAGCGACTTGGCCACAAATGATAGCTCAACGAAGCGGTTTATCGCGTGGAAATTTATAGCAGCCAAATACTCGAAATTCGTGATTCTAATTGTGGTGGGAAATTCCGGAGGACCCGGAGAAAAATCCACGCGACCACGGGGAGAATAATTCAAATTCCAAATATACAGGTGTCAGGGTTGGGATCGAACACCACGACCTCCTGTATACCAGGCGAGGTATTAAACATCTCGCCACTGTGATGTTTATGCCAATGAGTATGGTAGCCGGAGCCAAAGTAAGGCAGTGCGTGGTAACCCTACTGATTGCACAGGACCGTGTTGGTAGTTGCATCACTGTTGGTTGTTGTCCTCCCTCCACACCCTCGATCAGCACAGTTGGCTATGTATGGTGCGAAAGAAGTTCAACATACATACATAGGCTGTGTTTGTGTGTAGAGCCATTTCTTTGTTTTTACACGCTTTCTATTAACTCACTCTGTTTGTTGTGGTTGTCGTCGTTGTATCCTCAAATCTTGTAACTCAATTTTAACCCACTTCCCAATGTGGTATCGACTGCAAACTTGGTATATGTATGTCATACTGATGACAATACTATATTATATCATAAAAAATATATATATATATTTTTCATCAATGTTTCGGCTTGGGTCTAATTGTCCACGCTCAACTGATGTTGGCTGTAAATCACCACGGTCCCTTATGGCAAGCTTCGGGGCCACTTCCTGGAGTCGTGGAGTTCTTCCATTACTAGTAGGGTACATTTCATTAAAGAGTGTTTAAAAAAAAAGTTTAAAAAAATCTTATTATTAAGTAATTAAAATAAAGCAATAATTGTATTAATTATTTAATAACTAGTACATATTTATATAGTTGTAATAAATACCTTGGGTTCCTCCAATTACGTGCATTGCTGTGTATATCGCTATGTGCGTTGTATGTATGTGTGTAAAGCTGTGTGTATAGTGATGTATCATGCCGTGTATATCGCTTTCGTGCATTTCTGTGTGTAAAGCTATGTGTAGAGCTATGTGTAGAGCTATGTGCATTGCTGTGAGTATCGCTGCGTGTCATGTTGCTCTGAAAGTCACTGCACCCATCACCACTCCAAATTCTCCAACCCTACCCATGTCAATCGTCGTCTGCCGATTTCTAAACCATTCCACAGCATCCTGATTTTCACAGATTATAATCACAGTGCTTGCACAATTCTATAAAAAGTCACGGTTTTCGATGCAATGTTTGCTTCGAAACTTGGAATGCAGTAAAAGGAAACATCTGGCAGCCTAGGCCAAACATGGGCAGAGTGAATGAATGTCCTACAGACAAAGATCCCCCTGTAGCTTTAACAGACTGTTGAGGCAAGTGCTGTCAGCGAGTAACACCTGTGAAGGCCGTCACAGCACACGAGGGGTTGGTGGCCGCCTTTGTGCCGCCACACGTGTCACAGCGCACGTCACAGCGCATGTCATCGCGCACGTCACCGCGTGCGTCTCACCTGGTGAGCGCGGCAGATGAGGTCCAGGTCGTGGCGGTTGAGGAATTTGCTGACGACGTCGGCGCCGAAGGTGAAGGAGACGCCACGGTCGTTCTCGCCCCAGCCCTGCACGTCCTTGTCTGGGTCCGACCACAGCAGATCGCACAGCAGCCCTGGCAAAGGGGGCAAGCACAGAGAGCGCCACCACTGTGTAAGACCTCACTGCGCCGCTGCCGGGCCCAGCGGTTCGCACGCCGTGCGTGCACGCACGAAAGCCGTGCTCGGGGAGGGCTCGCGGCCTGCGGGAGGTATGAACACCGTGCGGGATAAATTTAGAACGCGCACGCGAATTTTGGCGCCATGTTACGGCGGCGCTAATACGCAACGTGAAACAAATGCCTTGCAACACATTGACGAAAAGGCGTCGGCGTGGGGTCTCTCTGTGTGTTCTGGCCTGAGAGAGACTGGGCACCTACCAGAGGAATATGGAGTTTCAACCGCTGGCTTAGGGCTACCAATGGAGATTAGTGCCACTCCTATACTAGTTTAACCGCAGAGGCACCTTTGAGTTTTCATCGTTGCAACAACAAACACGATAGATTGATGGTCCAGTGGTTCAAGCGTTGCATTGTGAAGCTGGCCGGCCGAGTTTCATTTCCAGGCAAATAGCTAACGATAGCCAACTGGTCCTGCCTTCACTGATCTCCACTGAAAAAAGTCGTGTGAAGTATAGTCTTACAAACCCCGTGACTAACGTGACTTGGGCAGGCCTTTACCCAGCTGTGGATTGACAAGGCCTGTGAATAAATACTGACTAATCAACAAGGGTCACCATGTGCATTGGGTTAAAGTTGATTGCCTTTTTTTATTACTCCTTTGCTGGCCGACTGCCTTGACATGGACATCAGCACATTCGGAGACATCCAGTCCCAGGGCGTAAAAAACCAGGGCCTTGGGAGACATTGGCGTGGTGCTCTGCCAGAACCGTTAATTAGACACTCAGCCCCGTGATTCGAACCCAGGCCCAACGCAGGTGTTGGGACAGTCGTTTGAGACACAAACAGATTCCCCGAGACACGATCGCTGAAAGATGTGCAACAGATGCAGGGCTGCTACTTTCCGGTTTGTGGGATTAGTGAACCACTCATGTTCCCGGTAAGAAGACCCCCGCTGACGCACGTCCCAGAGATAAATGCGAACTAAAAAAAATCTCCGTCGACTTTTGTGTCCGTCTGCGTTTCAGTGTCCGCGGCAGGGATTTGACATACGCCAAATTCCACGTCGGTAAACACATGGCCCACACGGTTCCCAGGCCACGGCACCCCCCCCTGCCGGCTACACCCCTGAGCTCTCTGTGCCACTAAGCGGTAGCAGTTTTATACAAACGAATCAAGTTGTTTTTCCATTTAAAATATTGGGGGGAGAGGGAAAAGTAGAAACAAAGACGCCCTGTTTACCCCCATTACAGAGCAGAGGGGGCGTGCGCTGGCAGTGGGCATCTATTCAGGTTGGCACAGCACACGTGGGAGTAGCGTAGCTAGCACAACACCCCTTTGCTGATGGTAACAAGATAAAGACCCACGTCCGCAAACACAACAAACTAAACGTCACACCTTGCAATGAGACGGGTTGCGATCTATTTCTTGACGACGCGTCAAGAAATATAAGGGGACGGGCTTCCGCAGAGTTCCACAGCGTCTGTTTACAGCGGCCGACCAGCCTTGTACGAGCGGCTTTATTTGGAGGGACTGCGTTGTGGATGGGAACCCTGGGGCACGAGAGCTGGATTCGGAGACGTGACGGCGCAGGCGGACACTCGAGACAAAAACGGCGAGTCACCGGGAGAGCCGAGAAACCGGTGACCGAGACAGATAAAAATATCTTATTTTTATTTGAATTTTTTAAGCGATTCGTTTACCTTTTCCTATACTTTGCACTCCTATCGTGTTTTTGTATTGTTTGTTTGTTCTTGCAACATCGGATTGCTCCGGTTATAAATATTCTGATTCCAGACAGCACTGCGGTCACCCCTGCCGTAGGAATGTGAAATTTCCACCACTGGTTCGTGGTTTTAAACGGGAAGGTGAGCACCGTCTCAATGCTCATTTGAGCAGGAAGTAAAATCTTGACTTATTAAGCGATGACACCGCAGCGGTAGCAACCCGTTGTGTTAACACGTCGCCTTCTGCGAAGAGATACGCTGGGGTAAATCGAGACGACATTCCTCTCCAGGAACTATTTATACGTTAAAATAAATATATAAAATATCAATTTAGTAGCATGAACCAAAAAAAAAAGGAAATAAATTAAATACAAAAATTTAAAATGACGCAAGTCGTAAAAAAAGCCTTCAGTGTGTGTAATTGCCCCATAATTACGTGGCCAGATTGGCGCGTTGTGCGGTTCGAGTTGCTGCGGTTTACGTAAACGTCCCGGCCGGCTCTCACAGTCTCAACACACAGACCCCTTCTAGCACAACTCCCAGTGTCACCTCCCAGTGACAACTCCCAGCGTCACCTCCCAGCGTCACTTCCCAGTGTCACATCTTCTCGTGCCACGCATCTGATTTTCACCTCCTCGTGTCACCTTCTAATGGCACACGTCTCAGCGTCACACACTTCGGTGTTATCTCCGAGTGTCACACATGCTCGTCTCACCTCCTAGTGGCACCACGTTGTGTGCCACAATTCCCAAGTGGCACCGACTGGTAACACCAACTATTGGCACACCCGAGTGTGATACATCTGAGTAGGTGTGACACTAGGAGGTGTTCTGATACAAAAAATAATCTGGCCAAGCACGTGCGGAGTTGCATAGAAACCTTTCCTCCACCACTTGTCGTTGTGGTCTCACTCCGCATCCCCAATACCTGTCTTGTACCTTTAATCCTTCCACGTCATCCTTGTACACAACAACATCAATAATCCCTCTTTAACGCCGGCATTCACACATCTGCAACGGCAGATGTTCAGCTTTCAAAGTAGTGGACTAATCAGAGATCCATACGCAAAAAATCAATGGTCGCACACTGTCGGATGACTACGACGACAAAGATGATGATGATGATGATAAATAGCGTGGACCAGGAACTTAACCTGGGTTCTCAACAACAGTGCTGGGTCATGCGGTGGCGGTGAGTGGTGGTGAGTGGCGGTTACCTGTGTCGGGGACATCCGTGGGTCTCATAATACGGCGGATCTGCTCCATTGACTGCAGGTCCGGTGAGAGGCCTGCATGCAGCGGAATCAGAATCAGAATATTTATTTATACTCGAGGAAACCGATGAGCTATAATGCTCTTTTTCACAGGTGTTCAGTAGGTGCATGGGATAAGAACGCTCCAACAACAAACAACACAACAGTCGTGCAAAGTACAGAAAAGGCAATCAAAAAATCACCTAAAAACAAAACCATCCCCATCCTACCAGGCAAAGCACACTGAGGTATTAACTTGTTTTTCAGAAGCGACATGGCCAGAAATGATAGCTCAACAAAGGGGATCATCACGTGTACATTCATAGCAGTCAAATAATGTAAATAATCTCAGCAAAACCCGGGCCGCAGCACCCACACGCAAACACGGACTTGAGCTCATGGTCAAAGAAAGTAGCAATCAGTTAACATACTAACTCTTGGGCCACTTAAGACAATTATGGATGGATTACGGTGACAAAATCACCCAGTATGCACCCGATCCTGTCACATCTCAGAAGCTAAGCAGACTTTGAGCCTGGTTAGTGCTTGGATGGGTGACCGTCACGCACAGTTCGTCATCGGGCTGTGGGGCTGCATTGTGGGCAGCCAAGCGCAGTACAGCAAAATCCATTGTTGCACTGTACTTATATGCTCTCCACCTTCACCAAACCTGCACTGACCAGCACAGTGAAAGATGGTTAAATAACACCCATGACCTGCATGGTGTGGTGAGCTCCTCATCCAGCAGTGGATTGTACATGTCAGGGCTGGCTGTAGCAAGTGGAGGCCTTAAACATTATTCTTAGTGGTGCCACTAAGAGTAAATGTTTACAGGAGGCCAGGTGGGTTCGGTCCTAACCCTGTCACCTGTATATTTGGAATTTGCATGCTCTCCCCGTGGTTGCGTGGATTTTTCTCGGGGCACTCCAGTTTTTCCCTCCACATTTAGTAACACGCGTTTAGAGCATTCGGCTGCTGTAAATTTCAGCATGATAAGCCACTTTGCTGAGCAACCATTTGCACCAAGGTCACTTCTGAAAAAAAGATGCATAGCTCAGTGGGCCTTAACTGTCACGAAAGCTTCAAATCAAGATTAAAATACTTTAGTTTAGTTTATACAAGGCGGTTTCTTCATGCGATGTGTGTTACTGGTTCATCACGCACACAGCTGTAAACATGCTTCTGGAGGTCGAGCATTGACACCTGTGCTGTGAATTCAACTTCATAAAGGATGACACTGAGATGGTATACGAGCAGTCTGTGAAGGATGTGATTATCAGCATAATCCACTCCATCAAGTCACAACTCAAAACACATCTCTTTACACTTGCATACAATAAATAACTCACATCCACAACATGCCTTCATTGTTATATTATAAACAGCTGTAAATAGTATATTGGCTTTCTCTCTCGCTGTACAGAAATGCCTATGCTTATGTTTATTGATGTGATGGCACTTTGAGTGGAAGATTTGTGACAGGCACCATGTGTTTAAGAAAAAAAAATGTTTTACATGACTTGACTAAGTTAATGAGAAGACCTTACACCAGCTCTGCATACAGAAACTTTAAGAGGGGGCCGTTGAAGGACCTATTGAATGTATAACCATCACCACCAGTCTACTAAAATCTATTAAAGAATCTTTACAAATGATAGCTCAAAGAAGTGGCTTACCGTGTGGAAATTTATAGCAGCCAAATACTCTCTAAACACGTGTTGCTCATACTTTGAACACGTGTTGTTCATTCTAAATGTGGAGAGAAGAAACCGGAGGACCCGGAGAAATATCTACGCGACCACGGGGGTAGAGATAGACACATGCAAACTCCAAATATACAGCAGCAGGCGTCAGGGTCGTGATCGAACCCACGACCTCCTGCATACCAGGCGAGGTAGTTAACATCTCCTAGCCACCGCGGCGCTCCTCACCGCAGTGAGTGGTGAGGAGGCTGGAAAGCGGATACTGGAGGTCCGATGTCCACTCACAACAGTTGCGTGTGATCTAGCAGAGTGATGTGGACCACAGCGACCTCTTTGACCCCCGACACACCTCGTGCAACCGCCATGGCGCAGTGCAGGGACTCACCGCCATGGCAGCAGAAAATCTTTTCGTCAATGATGGCAGCGATAGGCAGGCAGTTGAAGCAGTCCGTGAACGTCTTCCAGAGCTTGATGTTAAAACGGCGCTTGCCTGTTGGTGGTGGTGGTGGTGGTGGCGAGGGAGGGGGGGAGGCGGTGGAGGGAAGGGAGGGGTAGAGGGGTAGGTGGTTTCAACAAAAAAGCAGAGGGATTACAAGGCCAGAACCTGCAGAAGAGATGCGCGTGAGCTCACGCCCACCGCGCTCGCGTATTACGTCAATGTACACAGCTCGCCACTATACACACACACACACAAAGATCCCCCATTTAGACTTACAGAATGCAGGGGGATTTGCTGTTAGCAAACACCTATTCATGCGGGTATGGTACATGAGAATGAGGTGTTGCCAGGACCACACCTGGCTGCCTTTCTCTCTGCAGGGTTGATATTGACACCACTATATACTCATTTAAGGCTTAGTAAACCTAGGGGAAGGTCCATGACCGGTTTAGATATTTCCCACTGATGTTGGCCGTGAGCGGGAATAAAACTCCGCTGGATTCTTTGCGCTAACCACTACACTACCGCTTCCCAAAGACAAGATCCCCTGTATAGCCTGAAGAGACTTTTGGGACAAATGCTGATTTGCGAGCACCGATGAAGACTGGCACAGCAAGCGAGGGATGGGTGCCCAGCACCACACCCAGCCGCCTTTGTTTCTCGAGTGACGATTTTTACACACATCACCGGTTACTCATTTGAGGCTGTGTCAGCCTAAGGGAGGGCCAGGACCGCTCCCCATGCACATACACACAAACGAATACAGACACATTGACACACAAAAACATACAGACAAACTCAACAGCAAAGACACATACAAGCCAACACACACACAAGCAAACACAGACACAAGCACACATCCAAAGGTCCCCCGTATAGTCTGAACAGACTTTTGGGAAAAGTGCTGTTAGCGAGCACCTGTGAAGGCTGGAACGGCACACGAGGGGGTGGGTGGTCAACACCATGCCAGGCCACCTTTGTCTCCCCAGTGGCGATGTTTTTGCACCAGGTACTCATTTTAGGCTGAGTCGACCTTGGGGAGGCCCAGGACAGGTTTAGATAATCGTCACTAGTGTTGGCAGTGAACAGGAATCAAACTTGGGTCTCTGGGTTCCTAGTGCAGCGCGTTAACCACTACACTACCGCTCCCCGCGCATCAATACACACAAGCACACACACAAATTACAAGCAAGTGCAATAACCACAGCTAAATATATCTTGATGTTTATGTAACTTAATTTTATCATGAATCTTTTTTTCCATTAATCTGCAAGAGACAATTCTTGCTACCAAAATGTTATTTTATTAAACAGAGTCGATCATCCATTATCCGGCTTCCAACATTATCCGGCGGTCCCAGGCCAATTTGGCGGTCCCAGGCCGATCCGGTGAAAACGGCAAAACCGCTCCAAATGCTGTGACCAGTCCGGCGATCGGTACTGTGCGCATGACAAAAAAAGTAGGTAAGCTTGATTTATTTTATTTTATTTCTACCTACGTGACTTTACCGAAAGAATTAAAAAGTATGTATTCCTGCAGTCACGAAAGCTTCAAATCAAGCTTGATTTCAATGTGAAATAGTATATACTGTGCATTAAACACTACATACGACTTAATCAATGAAAATAATGCACTTAAAGACATCACCCCATGCGGAATCTTCCAGATTGGAGTGGTAAGTACAGTACAATAAATACAGTGACTTTTTGAAAGTATGATATTTCTTTTTGTCTATTTCTATGTTTATTTATGCCAATTTCAGATCGTAAACAAATTTGAAACGCGAAAAAGAACACATACACAACACCTTCAACGTAACGTTATGCAACAATGTGCAAACAATCTATTTTAAATGATGATGAAGTGATTGTCCGGCATTTTTGAAAATCCAGCCCCCCCTTCCCCGAAAGCAGCCGGATAATCGATGCTCTTCTATATTGATCAAGTATGTCCACCGTTTAGTTTTGTTGCAAACTGTTGATTTTGCTCCGAATTCTATTTGCTTCATTTACTGCCCGTTTTAATGTAATTTTTACGTCATTGTTTTTATCCTATTGTCATTTTGGTGATCCAGCTCACTTGCAAATGAGACTCTGCTGTGTCCTCACTCGGTTAAACAAAATAAGCTTGATACTTCGCGACAGACCTACACATGCACAACAACAACCGCGACTGCCTCCGACTGCCCAGTAGCGTCCTTCGTGAGCCTCCTCCACAGAGGCCGATCTTGACACCGCTGGTACCAGTCATCGGCAAGTCCACTCAGCTCCACGTCCTCCTGTACCACATCACTCCATCTCTTCTCTAGCCCGTGCCGCGCCCGTTTAGCCCTCTCGATCCGGCCGAACAAAAGCTGTTTAGGCATGCGGTGGCTGGGCATGCGGGCTACATGGCCCAGCCAACGCAGCCTTGCCTGCCGGAGGAGCCCACACACACACACGTGGACACATGCACGCACGCACGTTCGCACGCACGCACGCGACCGCTCACACTCGTCGTAGAAGCCGTAGATGCGGTTGATGCTGGCGCACTCGTGGTTCCCGCGCAGCAGGAAGAAGTTCTCAGGGTACTTGATCTTGTAGGCGAGTAGCAGGCAAATGGTCTCCAGCGACTGCTTGCCACGGTCCACGTAGTCGCCCAGGAAGAGGTAGTTGCTCTCGGGAGGGAATCCGCCGTACTCGAACAGGCGCAGGAGGTCGTAGTACTGTCCGTGGATGTCGCCTGCACAAGCGAGCGCAACACGTACGTACGGGCGTGTGTTCAAAAGTCGAAGCGTGCTACAAGGCTGTGTGTGTGTGGGGAGTGGTAGTGGAGTGGTTAGTGCGCTGCGCTGCGAACCCGGCGATCCGAGTTCGATTCCCGCTCACGGCCGCCAGTGACGGATAAATATCTGAACCGGTTCTGGGCCTCCTCGAGGTTGACAGCTTCATATGACTACCTGGTGAGGTGTGTAAACATCGCCAGTGGGGAGACAAAGGCGGTCGGGTGTGGTGCTGGCAACCCACCCCCTCGTGTGCCATGCCGGCCTTCATAGGTGCTCGCTAACAGCACTCGCCCCAAGCGTCTGAAAAAAGGCTATACGGTGGATCTTTGTCTATGTGGGCGTGCGCTTCTTATTTGTAAAACACAGCAGCTCCCGTACATCAGGCGAGGTAGTTAACGTCTCACCACCGTGGCACCCACCAACACGGGTCACCATCAGCTGGCAGCTGCAGCAGGGCCTGGCTTGCTACCCGTCTGCCGGTGAAAACAAAGTTGTCACGGCTGTTGGTGGCCCTGGCCCGGGCCGTGGAACTCACCGCATATCTTGAGCGGCGCTTCGAGCTCGAGCAGAATGGGCTGCGATAGGAAGATCTCACGAGACTTGATGCACAGAGCCCGCACCTCCGCCTCCGACATGTGCACCGTCTTGCCCGGTCGACTGCCCCTCACTGCGTACATTGAGGGGTGGGGGGGGAGGGGCGGGGGGGAGGCACGAAGAGGGGTCGATCAAGTGGTGAGATGTGTTAACTACCTCGCATGGTATGCAGGAGGTCGGGGGTTTCATCCCGACCCTGACGCCTGCATATTTGGAGTTTCCATGACTCTCTCCACGTGGTCGCGTGGATTTTTCTCCGGGTCCTCCGGTTTTTCCCTCCACATTTAGAAACAACATCACGCGTTTAGAGTATTTGGCCGCTGCTATAAATTTCCACGTGATAAACCACTTCGTTGAGCTATCATTTATGAGATCCAGGTCGCTTCTGAAAAAAGTTACATAGCTCAGTGGGCCTTAACCTGGTAAAAAAAAAAACACATTGTTTTTAAGTCGATTTTGTTAAACCACGTGAGCATTCAAGAGACCAGTACAAGCCTCATTTGCATGAGTAACCTGGGTCACCAACGTAACAATAGCAAAACAAATAACGCACAGCAATGAGTAATCCCAGTTGAGTAATTTGCAGGTTTTGTTTGTTAGTGCTGCTACCAGTTACAAGGTGTGTTGTAGCTGGTAATTGGCCATCATCATCATCTCATCATCATCAGTGAGATGAGGCACATCATGAAGCTGGCCGGTGGCTAGATCTGCAATGAACTGAGAGATTGTCATCATCATCATCATCATTGCTGTTATGATAATCAGTCAGTCAATCCACTGCTGGATGACATTGTCCCCAAGCCGTCGTCACCACCACCACCTTGCACGATATCACAATGCAACAATGCACCATCATCATCGTCATCGTTATTTATACCGCCCCTCCCATGCAGTATGTCTCCACTGTGAACGGTTCCTTAGAAACATCTTAAGTCAGTTGCGACCAACTCCAATTCGCGATGTCCGCAACAATGCTGCGGGTTCTATGGAGAACAGCTTAAAAGAGTGAAACTAATAATTCAAATATGGGTTCAATTTACTAATTGGGAGCTCGGTTGTAACGAAAACCGGGAAGCAATGTGACTCTTCAAGATTGGGATTGTGCGACCCCTGCCTTGACTGATTTGTATTCCCATTTTCTTGCGCTGATGATCCACTGTTGATGATGGTGAACCGTCAGCAATGTCCCTCGTAAGTGGAAAACGAAAGACAAGCCACAGGCGTGGAATTGTGGCCAAGCAACCCGAAACTTCGGAACGTTCAGTAAACCGCTGTCAGTTTAACACGTAGGCTTTACCGACCAATATTATTCATAATCAACGTTTTTGGGTTTAGATCGCGTTATTTATAAATGTGTCGTAACCCTCCACCACCCGACACGGCCAATCAGTAAAAAAGTGTCACGTTGACAAAAGACAAATAGTTCACTGCTTTAGCCCACCGGTGTGTTGAAGCGCGGAACCACAACATTTACAATTTGAGTACGACGTTTCGCTGGTAATTGCATCCGGCATCATCGGGCAATTCGCCAGAAACCGCTGTCGCCTGCGGCTCCTTCAACGGAGGAATGGGAAAACTATAACAGATGTTCAAACTAGATTCGAAGCTTTCGTGACCGCAGGAATTACTCTTTGGTTCTTTCGGTAAAGTCACGTGACTTTACCGAAAGAACCAAGGAGTAATGTTAACTACCTTGCCTGGTATACAGGAGGTCGTGGGTTCGATCCTGACGCTGAACCTGACACCTGTATATTTGGAGTTTGCATGTTCTCTCCGTGTGGTCGTGTGGATTCTTATTCGGGTCCTCCGGCTTTTCCCTCCACATTTAGAAGCATGCATATAGAGTATTTGGCTGCTATAATTGTCCACATGATAAGCCACTTTGTTTGAAATATAATTTGTGGCCAGGTCGCTTCTGAACTGAAAAGGAGCTATATAGCTAAGTGGGCCTTACCTTGAATTGTATTTATTTACTTTAATATGTATTTAATTTTATTTAGTTCAATAGTTTCCTGAAGCATTCTCGTGGCTAACAGATCTCGACACTGGCATTTATCTCCTGAACATATTGCCATCATACGCAATAATTGAATAGTTAATTAAAAAATATAAACAGTATTCAGACATTATGCACATGCCATAAATATTGCCTGTTTGTCATCATTATGATGATCATCATCATCATCACCATCAGCCATGATCGATCCACTGCGAGGTAAATGCCGGTGGTGTAACAGAATTACGGCAACATGGACTCATTTAGAGGGCAACCCAAAGCGCACGAGCCAGCTGGGTTTATGAACGTTTTCTACGGTCGACTTGGCACAAGCGATAAATCAGCTTCCGCTCTCTTCCTAGTATGGTAGAAAGGGCCTTAACAACCCGTCGGCGAGTTTACAAGATTAAGGTAAAACATTATTTCTGGCTGTGTAGAATTGTTTGGAGAGCGGACGATGCCACGTGCGTTGCCGAACCGAGGGCCAAGTGTTTACACTGAAGCCAGACCCAGTCACTGGTGTTCAAAAGCAGAACCGACGGACTTTAAAAAAAGGAGCCGGCCACCTGGTTCAGCGGTAGTGTGAGCGGCTCCCAATCGCAAGGCTGCGAGTTCCAATGTTGAGCGGGGGGGGGGGGGGTTGTGACTCGTCCAATCATCTCTTCGAGATCAATAGTAAAAAAAAATGAATACCACTTTGTGGAGACGTATATAGTGGTTTTGTGTGTGCCGTGGATAGACTCGTCCCTGTTGTAGCAATGTAGGAATTCCACCACTGGTACAGAGCTGTAAACGGGAAATGAGCACCGCCAACATAGCGCTGATGTGAAAGGGAAATCGCTTTGACTTTAAACGTTAGAGCAATCTGGCAAACGCGCACCAGCTTCAGATTTAATGGGAATGATCAGTGCAGAACAGCCCCATGAGGCCGCACGGCAACTAGCAAGAGTGTCACAGTGCTGGACATTTGGGCAAATCGTCAATAAACATTTGCGTCACAGTAACCGAATAACATGTGTGCAATCAGCACTTGCCCAAGATGTCAATGTTCCAGTGAAGTTCTCCTCGTGCAGGGAACACCATTAGCAAATCATGTAGGGGCGCCACGGTGGCTAGGAGATGTTATCCACCTCGTCTGGTATGCAGGAGGTCGTGGGTTCGATCCCGACTGCTGAAGCCTGCTGCTGTATATGTGGAGTGTGCATGTCACTCTCCCCATCATCGAGTCAATTTTTCTCCGGGTCCTCCAGTTTTTCCCTCCACATTTCGGTAACCCAGTTTATTGAGCTATCTTTTGTGGCCAGGTAGCTCAGTGGGCCTTACCTGGTAAAATATTTTTTTTTCTTTCTAGTTTTCTAGTTTCTCCATGCCTATCCATGAAAATGCATTCTCGAACCGAATGCAGTTACCCCACGGATAATGCAGACGCTTATATGGATAAACGCGACTAACAGGATTAGCTTCAGCGCATCCCGGTGACTCCTCATACCCATATAAAGCAGAGGTCTCATAATCCGCAATGATAGGGGAGGATAATCTCGCGGCGCACCGCAGAGGTTTCATCAAAACAATCCACAGGAACGACGTTCGTGCCGATTGCGGTGCCGCCGATTGTGGGAGGAAAGAGACGAGAGATTAGTCCGCAAAAAGGAGGATATCCGAGACCCAAGTCTGCCATATGAGGGCTCTAGCTTTGTTCGACGATTATTTTTGCTTGCATGTACGTACAGTTGGACTTCTTTCGCGCCGTGCGTAGGCAACCGTTCTAATCGTTCATATCCAAGCCCTAAAAAAAAAAACGCAAAATTATTTCTACTAAACAATTTAAAGCAGCGACAGCTAGTCTGTGCTGATGACAAGACTAAAACAAGAAAAAAATGCTAAATTAAATAAAAACATTACCTGCACGTTTCCCTGCAGCTCCGCTCTGCAGCTCTGGGTTGAGCCCACACACTTTGACAGGTCGTGAGTTGTTGTTTTGCGGTCCACGAAGTGTTCTAAATCCGACGGCAGCGTGCCGGCGGATCGCGGGAGACAGTCGTGAAGCACCGATAGTGCGCAGATTACAGAGATTCGACGATTGCAGCACATATTTTTTTGGGGGGGAATTCTGATTAACTTTAATAGGGAACAAAAAATCGATTAGTGCGAAATGGGAGGTTTTCCGCGACCTGACTGCGGGGTGCGGGTAAGAGTCTGCCCGCCGTTTTTTTTAAATCTTTGTGGTGAACTGTGTGTGGTTGCTTTGTATCGTATCTGTAATCAGGTGAGAATCCACTGATACTGATAACTGCTCTGGCAAAGTGTGACTTTGAGAGTAGAAAGGGGAGGTTACATTTTATGAAGTGTTCCATTGTCAAAAAATGACCAGTGATGGAAATCTTAGTTTTTAAGATACAACCTTGGAACACAAGAGGCTAGAATGAGCTCATTCTTAGTGATCTATGATATCACTCATTCTTTAATGTCCACCACCCAGCAGAGAGCCCATTTTCTATGGAGACACAGGGAAACCTCGGTTAGCCAGATTCTGCATACTGTATAGCTGACAGCACACACACACACGCTTGTCTATACAGAACACACAAAGATCCCCTGTATAGCTTTAACAGACTGTAGGAGCAAGTGCTGTTAGCGAGCACCTATGAAGGCCAGCATAGCACACGAGGGGGTGGGTGGCCAGCACCACACCCGGCCGCTTTTGTCTCCCCAGTGGCGATGTTTACTACACACCGCACCAGGTACTCGTTTGAGGCCGAGTCCACCTAGAGGAGGGCCCAGGACCAGTTCAGATAACCTTCAGTAATGTTGGCCGTGAGCGAGAATCGAACTCGGGTCGCCGGCTTCGTAGTGTGGTGCGCTAACCGCTACGCTACCGCATCCCCACAGCACACACACACACTCAGTATTTGCTATGGCTTGGCATGTACAGAACACACACGTACACTACACACATTCATATATCCATGCTCGCTGCTGTTGAAATGGCGGCTGGCTGGACCTTTCAGCTGGCCAGAGCAGGGCTCTTCCACTCACATTATTCCAGTTACCTGAGGCTCCGCTGTTATTTCACTTTG